TGCTCCCAACCCACAACCGATTGATCTCGGTAACGGAACCACATGTTATTAATAGGCGGTAATGGACAATCATCAGTCAAATCTAAACGAATGTAGTGTGCTACGGTACCAAGATGGCAAATGTCAATCTCACGACATGGTCTTCTAGCCGATGATCGTGCAGTGAGAGGCAACAATGTGTTGCTGAATAAGTCGTGCTGCCCACCTTGCGAACCAAAGCTCAAATGAATGACAACCACATTAAATAGGGTCGCAACGGCGTAGAGGTCCTCCGGAACTTCGAACCAGTGAGTCCGTCCACAAGGGCCCTTGCCCCACCTTATGCGACTGAGTCCGGCGTCGATATCTCTATAATAGATGTACTCGTACAATTCACGGTGGTTGTCGACCTCATTTGCAATGCTGTCTCTTGCATCTGCCCAGTACTTCTGGTGATCATACACGTGACTCGCGATGACCCGAAATCCGCAGTTACCATCCGCATCCACATTCAGGTAACTCACTATGTAATCCAACATATGCCAGGGGATACTTTGCCACATTGAAAATCCAAATATATTTGTCGGTCTAAACTCTGCAATAAATATCATAATAATTTGACGTCACAATTTATATAATCATATAAATACTTTAATTAACGCTCAGCCATGTTTAAAAAAGATGTATGACCTTCATCCCCTTGTGACTGTTGAGAAGACGAACTTGTCTGTCCACGCGAAGAAGTGGTCGTACGGCTCGATTTCCGACCTCGCGATCTATTGTTGTACTCAAAAGCAGATGGTTTACGCTTAGTTGATATAGTTTCCTTGGGACGACCTCGCGGGTTATCCTTAACCTCAGGTTCCGCATAATCCTGTTGGTCTGGGTAAAGATGACTGTACATGAACTGATTCACGTACCGCATTGTCGCGGGATCGCGGGTTTCAACATCACTCACAAGCGTCTGAAAGAACTCCGCATCTGACCATGCAGCGTGGCTCTCCTGGCTCTGATGACCAGTCCCTACAAGTATACGATAAAAAAGTCAATGAATTAAACCAAATAATGTATTTTAATATAAAAACATAAATAAAACATTAATCTTAAATTACCTGGTTCTAATATCTGGAGCGTTCTCCAGAACTGGTGAATCATTCCGAGATCAATCGGAATGTCGAAATCAACTGCGTTACGGAGAAGACAGGCACAAGGAAGTCTATGAGTGAGCTGCAATACACAGCCGCAGCTAGTGTAAAAATCGGTGCCCAACTTGTGCATCCTCGTAAGCTCAGCGTCCAATAAACTCAGATAGTAATGCGAGACCCTCAGTATCACGCTCGCGAAAAGGATTCCCTTATACCGTGTATTCTTCTTAGATCTCGAGGCCTCAAGCGCCGTCCTGATAATACGTTGCATAACGTTAGATTATAATTAATTAATGCAGTAATATAATAACGCATTTAAAAATTGCAGTACGTGCTTGATTTCAGTCACTTGATTATCGTTGTGCTTATTAATCTTCAGCCAAACTGTATCGAGCGCGCCGGTGGACGTCTGAAGCCACTCCTTCAACACAGAGTGGGCACTCTCCACCCTACAGGAAGTTGTGTTTCCAAAATGTGTCACTCGGTTGGTCCAAGCCTTCACAAACTTCTCGTGGTGCACTAACCATGTGCCCTCCACATACCGTATCACCTCTGGAGAGTTAGAATATTTTGCGTGCAGCTCGGCAACGGCATCGGTGTAGGCATCGAACGTACTGGCCTCTGCAATCGCCTTCCACGTACTGTGCGTGAAAATCTCCGAGAATTTTTTTCTCTTCCCAAATACTTGTAGGCTTTGGCTTCCACATCCTTGTTGATGCGCCACGTGTAGATTAAGTGGGCTGATTCAGGAAAATGCCTCTGAATAGGAGTGAGTAAACCCAACTCTCTGTCACTGACAACAACATAAGGATATACGCTTTGGCCTATCAGTAGTCTCAACTTCTCTAGAACCCAGTCGTAACTGGCCTCTTTCTCGTCTCTGATGAGCGCATACGCAATTAGGAAGTTCTGGTTGCACGGCGTCATCCCAATCATCTCGACCAACGACATCTTGTACCTGTGCAAATGAGACAAAGAAGACAAAAAATATAATTAAATAAAAGTTAAATTAATCAAACACACTATTTAAGATTCATACTAATAAAGTATGTATAAAGTAACATACCTGTTGGTTTTATACGTGGAATCTATGCCAACATACCCGTGATATGTCCGGAATAGATTGATCGACGCAGGATGGGCCATGAATATATGCGTCAACGCTTTCGTGTTCGGATCGGAGTCTGCATAAACTGTATACTCGCTGCTCACGGCCAAATGCATAAGCTGGGAAGGAACGTCTCTACCGTCGGAACTATCTGTCCGCAGCTTATTTCTAAAGTTATATACTTGTCACCGGTTAGCGTTAATTATAATGATTATTATATTTAAAACAAAAAATTTATTATATTAATAAATAAAAAAAGTATATTAATGCAATTAATTTGATAAAAAAATTATTAACTATCACAATAATAATACATTAGTAAATATAATAAAATTTATTAATTACTACAATAACTTTTACATAAAAAAATTACTAATTATCATAATTAACTTAAAAAAATTAATTAAAACATATATTACAAGATATAAATATATATACCTGCCGCACATGAACGTTGTCTCCCAGATTCTTTTCCTTCAGCGCGGCCATAATTTTTTTTGGGGCCACCTGAGCGTCCGTCATGTCACGAACAATTTTCTTAGATGAAGCGCTGAGGCCGCTCAACTGGCGATGACCCTCAGGATACACAGCAAATGCTTGGTTATGGTAGCATTTCTCTTCATTGCTACATCTACAGATACTCCAGTATGGAGCGCCGGACACCTTTTTTACTTTGATCTCAAAATTGCAGCCGCACTTATTCGTTCTTGTCTTTCTAGAATTTCCGCCTGTGCCTCTGTACCGTTCACCTCTATGGCACTTCAAAAGTCTGACCGTTTTCTTTTTGTGGCTCGAAATTATTAATAGGAAACCATTCAGCATTGCCTGGTGTTTTGCAGCTTCAATAGCCTCCTGAGCACTATTATATAATGTACAGGTATCGAAACGCAAACTGTAATCAACACCATCTCCTCCAAAATCTTCCCATGACTCCTGCTATATAGTACAATATTTATATTTTTAGAAAATGTTAAATTAAGATAATTAATTCTAGCATGTAACATAATAATTTGTAACTCATAACATGATATTATATAACATCCAATTTATATAATTTGTAACTCCTAACACGATCACGATAATATCTAACGTCCAATTTATA